CGGTATCATCAATAGGGATAGTAGAGCTTACCTCAGGAACATTCTCAAGAGTATAGTTATCTGGTGGTACTATATTTGGAGACGAGGGGGAGTAATATCAATAGAAGTCTCAAAGTTGACAAGTGGCAGCACTGTTACTGTAGGTGAGGATGGCATTGTTGTGCCTGCCGTTGATTATGTAGGCAGCACTACGACTGCTATTGGCTAGGCTGGCAGCGCAATCGTTATAGGCTCGGCTAGTGGCAGCGGAAGATCAACAGTATCATTCATGGTCCAATCCTTCTCTTTATGTCGTGTCTCCCTTTGAGGAAGAGGATTGGAATAATCCAAAGGCTAATACATCTCAGACTCGGAAAAAGTGATATCCATAGTAACATACATTCGACGGGAATGAGGGTGGTAACAATGGTACCCTTTCTGATGGAGTCCGTACCCCATAAAAATATAACGGAGAGCACACGGTTCAAGTTTTGTTCGTTGATTTTTATGAAGATGAACAAATGCAACACATCCAAAAACCCGAGGTGGGAGTACCAAAATCGATGGTAGATGCACGAAGGTAGCAATGACTTGTAAGGGAGTAAGAAAATCCAGGACTTTGGATGGCAAACGGTTGATAAGATAAGTGGCGGTCTGAAGAGCAACATCCCAAAAAGAGCAGGGAACAGACGACCCAATCAAGAGTGAGCGAGCCGTTTCTAAGAGATGACGATTTTTGCGCTTAGCCACCTCGTTCTGTTGAGGAGTCTGAAGACAAGTAGTTTCGTGAAGAATTCCGTGATTAGTTAAATAATGGGAAAAATCATTATTAACATATTTACCACCATTATCAGAATGCAAAATTCGTATTGTAGTAGAAAACTATGTCTGAACCATGGTATGGAAGGTCTTAAAAGCTGAAAAAAAATCATCATTTTTATGCTTAAGAAGATATAACCATGTCATCCGTGTGCAATCTTCTATGAATGTTACAAATCATTGAATACCAGATGAAGTTGTAATCGGAGATGGTCCCCAAACATCCGAATGAACAAGACCAAAATGAATAACACTTTTATTAGAATTGCGGATAAGAAACACGGTGACTTTTGGCGAGTATGCAAGTGTCACATTTAAAGTCTGAAACTGAACAACCAACAAATAAATCCGAAAACATATGTTGCAAATAACTGAAAGATGGATGACCAAACGGTGATGCCATAACCATATCTGACGCCTCTTGTGATCAACAGCTCATTGGGCGAGATTGACCCGTCTTGTACATACATCATCCATAAAATAGAGATCCCCCCTCTTAGTACCACAACCAATTATCTCATTCGTGAAAATATTCTGTATAAGACAAAACTTTGGATACATTAGCACACAACAGTTTAATTGTTCAGTAGCTTAGCCAGGAAACATAAATTTATGCTTTAGTGAAGGTACAAGTAATGTTTGAGGCAAAGAGAGAGTGGGCGTGAGGCGCATGGTGCCAGTGCCACTTACCAATGAGGTAACTCCATTAACATTATTAATATTACGTCGAAGTGGAACAGTATCACAAGCTAAATCAGTAGGATCATAAGTCATATGGTCTGTGGCACCAGAGTCAATGATCCATCCGGATGGAGTAGCATCACTATTCATATTAAAAACATAACCACGGTTACTTGATGACTCCGGAGACAAGTCGGAAGAACTCAAAACCGGAGGATGATCATCTTGAGATATCAAAGATAATTGGGACATGGAGGTGGCGAGATTGGCTTGCTCATCTCATTCTCGTTGTTTCTGAAGCTTCAAAAGTTCCCACCAGTCAGAATAGCCATGCAATTGGAAGCAATTATCACGGCCATGCTTTTCACTACCGAAGTAAGTACAACAACCAGCCGGGACAGGTGGTTTAGGACGAGGAGGACGGGGACCCGTGGTGGGCCGTGAGGTCGTATTAACAGCAAAGAGCGAGCTCTGTGCTGGACTCGGGGCAGTAGCTTGGGGTTGCAGTCTTGGGCTCAGTGTAGGTGACTTATCGGGGGCGCGGGGACGAGGTGGAACTACGGCTCGTGTGGCAGGCCGAGCCACCATGGCTGCCCCACTTGGCAGCTGTCCTCCACTATTCATCATAGCTTGTCGCATTCCCTCTCCGCGAACATAGGCAAAAGTTTGTTCGACGGAAAGAAGGGGACTCAATTCGTAGAATATCACTACAAATTTTATCAAACATCTCATCCAATCCTGCAAGAAAAGTGTACACACGATCCGTTTGAATAATTTTATTAAAAATTCAATATCAGTTTCGCACTTCATCGGATTAGGTCGACGATAATCAATCTTCTGCCACAAAGATTGAAGATCACTATAGTATGTCTCCATCGGTTGTCCATCTGCCTTATGCGAGAGGCTTTGCAGGTAAGATCATAGACTTGAGATATATGGGAGCCGTCATAATACGTGCGAGCAACCGCGTCCCACATTTCCTTTGCCATCAGTAGTCGAAGAAAGTACGCAATCAAATTGGGTTCCATAGAGTTGATGAGCCAACCCTTCACAATAGCATTCTCCATACGCCATTTGGTGAAGGCCGGATTGTCGATAAGTGGTTGGGGATTACTCCTAAACAAGTAGCCCAACTTGTCTTTTCCAGCAACAAACATCTCAACAATCTGAGACCAAACTCCATAATTGGCACCATTGAGTTTGATGCCAATTGAAGCAGTAGACGAATCATGATGGACAATTTGTGAAACAACTTGCAGTATAGGTAGGGTAGAATTCATGGTAGGGTTGGTTAGGGTAGTAGTGTTTAGGGTTGTGGTGTTTAGTGTAGGAGTAGAATCGGTTAGGATAAGGTTGTTTCCACTGTGGAATGGTGGTGGGTTCTCCATGGAAGGGTTGAGTTTGCTTGAGGGAACGGGCAGTGCAGAAATCCTAGGATTTTTGCTCTGATACCATGCTAATTAGAGCTTATTTTGGGGTTTAATTTCTTGATATCATTCGTCTCACCAAGGAGGAAAATATATAATGTACAAGAGTGATTTACAAGGAAAGAAACATCAAATAACATAATTACAATCTGACTACAATGACTCAAATAAGTAACTAAACTAATTACAAAAGGTCAACTCTCCAACATTTTTCAATGCACTACACAGTCCACACATTCCTTTGTTTTTCTCCTGAGCCAATGGAGTGGATCCAAATCCAAGGAATGGGACCCTAACAAAGACTGAAATTGTAATTATGGTCTGGTTAAGAACTTGAGAAGAAAATGCATTATACCGAATGTCGGTGGAAGTGGAACCAAGTTTGATTGCATAGCTTCCTCTTTTTTATTCTTGAATTAAAAAAAATAAAAAAGGAGAATTAATAGGTAGAAATAAAAGTAAAAAAGGTACAAAAGAAGGAAACGGGTGTGAAGAAAATCACTCTACAATACGTAATACTTTTGTTACATTTTTTAAAATCAATTGCATGTTGCCATGCATTTTAACTTTTGAGCATAGAATACTTAATATATTATCAATTAATTATGGTATATATAGTGTTGGAAGAGGATTCCCTTTGGATCATTTTTGTAGAGATTTAGAAGATTCTCTAATTTTGTGTGTTTATTATTATCGTGCAGCTAAAAATTATTTTAAATATTTATATTTAAAATTAAATATATATAGTATTAAACAAAAATTAATCGAATTATAAACACACCAAATTCAAAGATCTCCCTAAATTCCCACAAAAAAATCCAAGAGGATCCTCTTCCTATCATGTTGACATCGTGGAGCACAAGGTAATAGTCAGCATACAAAATTGATAGGATAGGGGTACTGTGATTAATACAAGTGCAAAGACGACAAGGGATAAAGTTATACTTTCGTGCTAGACATTTTGGTAATTTAAAACTCTTGATTTGATTTATAATTATTACTCTTTGTTGGTGTCGTATCATTCTGACATGGGTTCCTTCCGGATCCGTAGAGATTTAGAGATCCTCATATCTTAATTATTTCTCGTGTATTGTACGATTAAAAATTATTTGATGTTTATTTATTTAAATTGAACACATATTGTATTTGATGAAAACTGATCATATGATATACTATGAACGGCTGAGATGTGAAGATCCTTAGGATCATCCGGAAGAGATCCTTTTCAGTATCATTCTCCCTCGAACACTAATCATAATTTGCGTAGCTGAAATGGGGTTCCTTTTTTCTTTATATGCAATTGTATTTCACTACTTTTCTTGTATTTTTTCTCAGCACTGAAAAAAAAAAAGAAAAATTGTTTTCATATATCATTTCTCATTTTATCACTCTCTCTTGTTTTGTTGTATTTAGATTGAACAATAGAAAAAAAAAATTTAATGGTTAAAATTAACATGAATGTGCAAAAGTTAAAAAAAAAAGTTGTGTTGAAATCACTAGCAACATGTCCGAATTGTTTTAACTGTTCCCGACTAATAAAAGTGTGAAGGGATGTGATGCGGAATTGGCTCCCTAACAAAGATTGACAATGGTAACGTGGGGCTGGTAAAGAAGAAGATGCTTTTATCTTCAGAAAAATTGAACCCCACTGTTATTGGTAATGAAAAGCAATTTTTCCACGTCTGAAGAGGAATATCCTTTTTTTCTCATTCACTCGTCCGTCTTTTCGGTAAACCAAAAGAAAATTAACAGGTAAAAATGTCTTTTACTGAAAATGGTATTTCCATTTTGACAAAAATAAAAAATTGAAATTTGTATATCTATTCATTTTAATTGTTAAATAAGAACTAAATGATAAAAATACATTTAATTTAATAAATAATGATTCAAAATAAATTAAAAAAAATTAAAAGTGTTGTCGCTTTATCCTTAAATTCTTATTTAACGAGGGGACCCTGCCAAAGATTGATAAGAGTAGTGTAGGGCCGGTTGAGAACATAATGCATTATTAATAATTACGTAGCAGGTAGGAAACTGATTAATAATGCATCCTTCTAACCTTCTACTTGGGTACGTTCACACTTACTAATATAGTCACAGCGTCCTCGAGGGGACTATACCAGTCCATTGTCCTTACCATACTGCATATTAGGCTCTTTTCTTTCGTTTATCTGGCTTTAGTTCTCTTATGGCCAATCAACTTGCCTCTTCTTCTTCCTTGAGTACTCTTCCCCGGAGACACGATGTGTTTTTAAGTTTTAGAGGTGAGGATACACGCTTTACCATTACAGAGCTTTTATACTACGCTTTGTCCAGTAAGGGAATCAACACCTACATGGATCAGCAGCTTCAAAGAGGAGAAAAAATAGCTCCGACTCTTTTCAAAGCAATTGAAGAGTCAAGAATTTCTGTTGTCATACTCTCTAAGAACTATGCCTCCTCAAGGTGGTGCTTGGACGAGCTCGTCAAGATCCTTCAATGTGGAGAATCAAAGAAACAAATAGTTTTGCCAGTTTTCTACAAGGTGGATCCGTCTAATGTACGAAATCAAACGGGTAGTTTCGGTGATGCGTTTACGGACCATGAGAGCAAGTTCAAAGATAACAAGGAGAAGGTGCTCATGTGGAGGAGAGCTCTAACAGAAGTAGCAAATTTGTCAGGACATCATTTCCGAAAGGGAGAGTACGTATATGTCTTCTCCTTACCCTGCATTTTGTATGGCTAATTTCGTATAGTAATATCATCAATTTATTTTTAGAAAACTTAATTTTAACTCTTAAAAAAAATGAGTTTTATAATATAATCCTGTCTAAGATCATCTCTTTTAATATAATCCTGTCAAATTTTTTAGCCCAAAAAGAGCTTTTCTACTCCAACCATTCTACCCTAAAATTTTAGTCTAGAATTATTAAAGAATAAATTTAGGCTATTTTTTTTGTTAAATTAATTTTTTTTTAAAAAAATAAATATGTAAACTATCGTAAATTAATTTTATGAACATTTTAATCTAAAAAAATTTAAATTCCGATAAATATTGGGTAGAGTCTATCCCGATTTCTGGGCTAAATTTCGGGGGAATTTGGCATTGGTTTAGCATTTAGCATTTAGCTCAAAATTTCCCTTTGGGTTGGAGTGCGTTTTGGGGGGGGGGGAATTTTAGGGAGTAATTTGTCTTTCAGCCCACCATTAGAATTGGTCTAAGATTAAAATCTAATTTTAGTCACTAACACATTTAATCATCTCTTTTATTAATTATATTTTGATGTTTTATTTCTATTATTTCCTATTTTTAATGTATTAATTAAAATTTTATTTTATTTTCATTTCATTCATCATAATATATTTTGATGCCTACATTAATTTAACTAATTTTTTTAATAATATATTCCGATACAATGTGTATAATCTTTTATTTAAGTATATGAATTTATTTGATATATTTAAGATATCCATCTATAGTTATACAAACATATATGTACCTTAATTCAATATAATGTATTTCCGTAAGTAGCTACATTAAATGTGTGATTTCTTTTTAACTGGCAGGTCCATGGTTACATTAATCAGCAACATTGTTGAGAATATCTTAGTAAAAGTACTTGATGGCACATATTTAAATGTGGCCAAATACCCAGTTGGAGTAGATTCTTGCGTTCAAGAGGTGAAAGAGCTTTTAGGTGTCAGAGGAAATGATTGTTGTGTGGTTGGGATTTGGGGGGCACCTGGAATAGGCAAGACAACAATTGCAAAAGCTGTTTATAATGCAATTGCTCATGAATTTGAAGGCAGTTGTTTCCTGGCAGATGTTAAAGAAAGGTCGACATCACTTGAAGGCGTAATCCAATTACAAAACGATCTTCTTTCTAAAGTTCTATGTGGTACAAAGTTAAAAATTGACGATGTTTATCAAGGAATCAGTTTTATAGAGAAACTGTTGAGGGGAAAGAAGGTTCTCTTAATTCTTGATGATGTGCATGAATTGGAGCAGTTAAACAACTTGGTTGAAGTCCATCAATTAGGTGAGGGTAGCAGAGTGATCATAACCACAAAAAATAAAGGATTGCTGGAATCTTGTAAAGTTGAGCTGATATACAAGGTCCAAAAGTTAGAAGACAACAAAGCTCTTGAGCTTTTTAGTTGGAATGCCTTTGGAAAAGAAAAACCTCCAGGTGATTATTTGGGACTCGCACGACGTGCAATAGCATATGCTCAAGGCCTCCCGTTAGCTCTTAATCTTATAGGTTCTCATTTGCGTGGTAAAAATATAGATCGTTGGCAAGATATTTTGGACAGTTACGATGAAGAACCTTATAGAGGGATTCAAAGAGTACTTCGGAAAAGTTATGATATCTTGGATTATGTCCCGCAACAAGTTTTCCTAGACATTGCATGCTTCTTCAAGGGTGAAGATAAAGACAAAGTGTTACAGATATTAAAAGGATCAAACCTCAAAGTACGTCAACATTGTATTGATGTTCTCGTTGAGAATGCCATTATAACTATTGAAGATAATAGGATTTTGATGCATGACTTGCTAGAACAAATGGGTAAACATATAGTTTGGGAAGAATCGCCTACTGAACCAGGTGAACGGAGCAGATTGTGGCATCATGAAGATGTGTACCGTATTCTAACTAAAAACAGAGTAAGTAGAATATATATTCTTGCATTTGATTTAATTGGCATGATTTTGGAAAGAAAAAAAAAATTAAAATCCTTTTGATTTCTTTGTTATACGATTTGTTTGTTAATACTATTTATTTTTCCATCTTAGGGAACAAAGAAAATTAAAGGCATTGTGGTGAAGTTGCCCAAGCTAGATGTGATACCCTTGAATGCAAAAAGCTTTTTCAAGATGGTAAATCTTGAAATTTTTATAATCCATAATGCACACTTTTCTGGATGCGTTGAGTACTTACCTAACGATTTGAGATGGATTGAATTTGGTGGAGATAAGCTTAAAGACTGGGGATCCAATGTTCTTCAAAAGCATATACTTACATTCAATTTGCAATCCAATTGTCATCTAAGGCATCTTGTCACGTTTATTATGCCAAACAGTGACATCAGACAATTGAAGGGATTTCAGGTATGTATACATATTTTAAATTAATTTGGACAATTAATAATTTAAATGTATATTTTATTTTTGTAAAAAAAAAAATTTGCCAAAGCTTTTCATCATTAATTATACTATTTAAAGTTTGTGATTTTTTTTTCTTTTGATTTTGATTTCACAGAATTTGACAAAGCTTACATCTTTGAATTTAAGTGGTTCCGAATTCTTAGAAAAAATTCCCAACTTATCTGGAAGTCCAAACCTAAGGGAGTTGATTCTAGATGAGTGTAAACGTTTAGTTGAAGTTGATGATTCTGTTGGATTCCTTGATAAACTTGTTACATTAAGTTTTGATGGGTGCTCTAGGCTTGAGAGATTTGCGACGAGACTTGGATTGAGATCCCTTGAAAGCCTTTATCTTGATGGTTGCACAAGGCTCAAGAGTTTCCCAGAAATAGAGGTCGAGATGGAATCTCTGAAGTATTTGTCCATAGAAGAAAGTGGCATAAGAGAATTGCCTTCATCAATTGCATATCTTACTGGGCTTAAGAGATTGTGGGCAAATGGTTGTCAGAACCTTACAGGAACATCATTACATCACATTTTTGGGTTGCAACATCTCGACTATATTGAAATGGATGGATGCCCAAAACTGGTGACATTTGGGAAGTTTTCAACTCACTTAGACACTTCACATGACAACGGTATCCCATTAGCCCTTTCCAACGTAGGTTGTACTTATCTTGATCTTAGTGGATGCAATTTATCAGAAACTGATTTTCTTGTGCCTCTTCATTGGTGGACCAAATTAAAACGTGTTCGTCTGGGGGGAAACAATTTTGTTAGTCTACCTGAATGCATCAGCAAATTTGTTAACTTGGGAACACTTGATTTGAGTCGTTGCAAGAGGCTTCGGGAAATTCCACATGCCCTTCCACCAAATCTAAGTGAATTACATCTGGATGATTGCACATCATTGGAGAAAATTCCAAAGTTGCCCTCGGGGCTTAGGCGTCTGCGGTTGGCTAATTGCTTTAGACTAAGTGGCGATGAGGTGACAAAGTTGAAAAATAATTTGTTGAACTTGAATCAGGTTCGTCTCTCCTCCCTTAATTTCTTTTGAAATTAAAATATATAATTTGTTGATACTTGGGAGGGAGAACAGATCACGATTGTCTGTAATTAGTTATTTACATATTATTCACTATTGCAGGAATCTCTTTTATGCTCTCAATTGCAAGTTATGTATCCGGGCAATGAAATTCCAAAGCAGTTTAGCTATACCTCTAAACATCTAACAGCCTCTAGGATTGATCGTGAACCTTATTATGATGGAGGTAGTGAATTTAGTTTTGAAATTCCTCTAAATTTACAGGAGAGGGAGACATTATTCGGATTGGCTCTATTTTGTGTTTTGCCACCACGGCCTTTATCAAAATTTGAATATTTTTACTACTTTCGTATTCTCATCAACGAAGCAAGTGACCATACAGTATTTGGGTGGGCTGAGAAAGGCGTGGAGACAGCTCATGTGGGGCTCATGTTAGTGGATTTAAAAAAGAAGCAGGGAGAAAGCCCATGTGGGGCACATGTTAGCGGAGATATTTGTGAAGTTAAATTTCAAATCCGCGGGGGCACACACATTAAAATCTGCGGGGTGCACCCCTTATTCCGCAAAGAAGATGAACAGCTTCCCTTGTCTTTGGGACCAACGAGTAGTCTTGGATCCACAGATATTGTAGATGATGAATATGATCGGCAACAACAATGGCCTTCCTTATCTTTGAACCCAGCGGATGATCATCCGAAACGCACGCAGATTGATCACAATGTTCCTTCTGATATTGAGGAGGAGCAAGAGCAACCGTCCACCATTTCTGATTTACTACGAGTTTGGGTAAGTACATTTCAGTTTTAGCGATTTTTTTATTATTCTTTATTGTGATATCTTTTTTAAATAATATAATAAAAATTAATTAATTTAAATTAAATAAAGGAAAAAATTTGAACAGTTTTCAATCTGCATAATCAAAGATTTCATATCTTTAGAAACAAAGATTTCATATCTGTAGGTGGTTAGTTCTTAGAAAAACAGAAACCACATTTGTATCTTGAAGTACCTTTCACAAATAAAATCAAATTCTAATTAATCAAAACAAACAATTATGGAAGGAAAATATACAAGGAGAAATGAGATTATAAGTACAAAATTCAAGATTAATTACCTAAAAACTTGGTTTTGTTCATATGAGCACAAAATTTCTACACGAAAATCAAAGAACTACATCGTTTGGATGAACATGTAAACCACATGCTTCTCTCTCTGTTAATCAAGTTTACACGCAGAGATGGAAGACTTGGAGCACAAATTTTTTTATTAGCATTTACTTCTGCTTTTTCAATTAATGAATAGGTGGAAATTTGATTTGGTGTTGATTATAATATTTAGTAGAATTTTAATATCAAGAGGAGATAACAATGTAGAAAACTTAGCCGCTTGAATCAACTTGATTGATCTCGACCCTCATGATCTCACAGGTCTCAACCTGCTTCGGTTGTTTAAATTTCTGGTGTGAGCCAAGAAAGTGAACTCATTAATGTTGCTGCTCTAGTTAGTCAGCCTGCTGTTTCTGCCAAGGAACCGACAAGCCTGCGGTCTCTTTATGTTCCACCATCGGAAGCTGGGTGTGAAGCGTGCTGCGTGCATTAGTTGTTGGAATGGGACTTCAAATTCTTCAACAGGTTTGGTAGAAAAAGTTAAAAGGAAAATTTTATTTAAACCCATGCAACTTTTTTTCTACACTCCTCAGGTGTATGAGCAGGCCGGTGTCGCCATTCTTCTATCTAACATAGGGTTGAATCCGACATCTGCATCTCTCTTCGTAAGTGCCATTACAACTTTCTTAATGGACATAGCTCGCAGAATACTAACTTTTAATCAAAATTATAACTAGGGTACACTATCCAAACGATAAAATACAGTTTAGTGTCCCTTATGGTCTACTTAGTGTCGCTCCAGTTCCATTTTAGACTAGAAGTTTGTAACCGGTTCTATCTAATGCATATTTGCGGAAAATAAGCTTTCCCTTTTGCCTTTCTTGGTATGCAGGTCGCTGCTGCTCTCCACATTATATTGTCCCTCACTCTTCTTGTAGTTGCCAACATTGTCAACTTGGGAACTGTTCTGAATGCAACAATCTCCACCGCCGTGCCTGCTGCTTCGTCATGGCATTTGGAGTAACCCCGAACATTCTCTGCGCAGTGATCATCCCTACGAGCATCCACGGCCTCTGCATTGCCATCTGTGCCCTCACATTCTGGATTGGAGACATCATCATCACTTACGCATTTCCTGTCATGCTCTCTTCCGTTGGATTTACTGGCATCTTCGGAATCTATGTTGTCGGGTGCATCGTTCCTGGATATTTGTTTACTTGAAGTCAGCTGCTGCTGATGCATCTGTTGGATTCCAATGAGAACTGATTTGATTGTTTAGAGGGTTTGAAAGTTTGGTTTGGCTTTAGACTGGGATTATGAGGACAGGATTTGAGTTGGAAAAAGTGCTGATGACTGGATTGCATTTTTAGAAAGTGATTTTGTAATCATCAATATCCCTCACTTAATGACATGTTTGACTATTTGGTACCGAAAAATCAATTCTCTTGGGTCATAAGCTCATAAGTGACATGTTTTGTTTGACTATTTGCACCACTTCTTATAAACTTGAAATACCCATTTAAGCATATTGCAAAATACTGATTGAAGTTTTAAAAAGGTCGACCACCCTTGGATTTCCAAATGATTTTTATGAATATACTTGGTGGTTACACTTACATTTTCTTATCTAAGTAGACATATTTTGATACGAATATTGTTAGAGACTCTCTTACTAATTATGATGATCATATACCAAATAACTCAATATAGATCACGAAGGTTCTTATTAATAATATTTTCATAAAAATCTGCTGAGAAAGTCAGTTATAGTCTTCAAAGATCCAAACTTTATCAGTCTCTCGGATAGTAATTAGAGAAATGGAAACCCAATCGAAGGACGGAGACTCTCTGGAGAAGCGGCCCGGCATCTTCTTCCTTGGCTCCCCCGGCGTCGGCAAACGCTCTCTCATCTCCCGTAAGCTCTCTCTCTCTTTCTCTCTCCTTTGGTCGATACTAAATTCATGACCTCTTGATTTCTAGGCTTACTGGGTTTGGATTTTTGACGATGCTTCTGATTCATCATCGTCATCTCAGCTGGTAGTTGATGAGTATGTAAAGTTTTGAACTTAGGGATCAAAGAATTTAACTCTTAGGAATTTTGGGAACAAACAATTCGTTTTGAATTCTTTTGAAATGTGTATTTTGATGATTTTTGTTGTAAAGAAATAGATGGAATATCTCTACAAATTACTACACAGCTGGTGTTTCGGTATGGATGGCTCATCTCCATGACGAATTTTTTATAGAGTCCCTTGCCACTCACTCTTTGTCACTTTGTTTACTTGTTTAGCATGATTTTCAATGTGTCTTATATCAATTTGCTTGCGTTATGCTGCAGTTGTCGTCTCTGTCTGCGCTTCAGAAATGGTTATCTCTAACTTATCTTCAAAAGTTCGATATACTAGTGTGCATAGGGAACAAGGTTGATCTTGTTCCGGGTCATCCAGTTCATATTGAATATAGAAGACGACTGCAGAAGCTTGGAGACCTAATTGCTGATGACGGTCCAGGGTTCACTGTCTATGGAATCTCCGAGACTGAAGGAAGCAGTTTATTGGGGGATGACGAGCCGTATTGGGAGGCTAGGCACACATGTTTGGAATGGTGCAATGAGCATAACATTGAGTTCGTCGAAGCTTGTGCTTCAAATGCTGATTGTGACAATGTAAGGCAGCCCATCTTTCTGACTTGTCACATTTATTATGTCAAACAGTGGCATCAAACAATTGAAGGGATTTAAGGTGCGTATACATATTTTAAATTAAGTTGGACGATTACTAATTTAAATGTATATTTTACTTTCGGAAAAAAGATTTTTTTGCAAAGTTTTTCATTATTAATTATTATATTTAAAGTATGTGACTTTTTTTAATTTGGTTTCATAGAATTTGGCAAAGCTTACATCTATGAATTTAATTTATTGCGAATTTTTGGTGGATTCCTTGATAAACTTGTTGATTAGATCTTGGGGGGTGCTCTAGTCGTACGAGATTTGCAACAAGACTGAGATTGAGATCCCTTGAACGGCTTTGTCTTGGTCGTTGCACAAGGCTCAAGAGTTTCCCAAAAATAGAAGACGAGATGGAATCTCTAACGTACTTGGATGTAGATGAAAGTGGCATAAGAGAGTTGCCTTGATCGTTTTCCTATCGTACTAGGCTTGAAGAATTGACTGTATATGGTTGTAAGAACCTTACAGGTACATCATTACATCATATTTATAGGTTGCAAAATCTCGTTCAGGTTGAATTCCGTGAATGCCCAAAACTGGTGACATTTGGGAAGAATAAGGTGACGTTTGATGAAGTTTCATCCAGCAGTACCGAATCTCAACTGCTTTCAACTGACTGAGAGACTTCACAGGACAACTGTAACACATTTGCTCTTCCCAACCTAGATTATCTTTATCTTAAAGGATGCAATTTATCAGAAAGTGATTTGCTCGTGCCCCTTGATTGCTGGTCCACATTAACAGAACTTGATCTGTCCAGGAACAATTTTGTTAGTCTTCCGGATTGCATTAGCAAATTTGTCAACTTATGGGGACTTACATTGAGCGGTTGCAAGAGGCTTCGGGAAATTCCACAAGCCCTTCCACCAAAACTACATTATTTAGAGCTGGATGATTGCACGTCCAAAATTGCCCCTGACGCTAAATCTACTGTACATGCGTAACTGCTTTAAACTAAGTGGTGATGGGGTGGCAAAGTTAGAAAACAATCTGTTGAACTTGAATCAGGTTCCTCTCTCCTCTCTTAATTTCTCTTGAAATTAAAATATATAATTTGTTGGTACTTGGGAGAGAGATCAAATCATGGTTGCTTGTAATTAGTTATCTACATATTATTGCTTGCAAGAACCTATTCGGTGCTCTAACTTGAGAGTTATTTATCCAGGCCATGAAGTTCCAAAGTGTTTCAGCTATTACTCTAAACATCCAACAACCATGCCAGAATATAAATGGAGAACTGCAGGAAAATTTGCTGGAGGCATTGAATTTTGTTTTGAAATTCCTCTAAATTTACAAGTGGGGGAGACGTTATTAGGATTGGCTCTATCTTGTGTTTTTAAACCACGGACTTTTTATGATGGTTGTGCTTCAGAATTTATATGGCCTGGGAATGGTATGGAGGCAGCTTATGTGGGGCTCAACTCAGTGGATTTAGAAAAGAAGCAGGGAGATAATTGTAAAGTTAAATTTCAATTCCCCAAGGGCACACGCATTAAAAGCTGCGTGTTGCACCCCTTATTGTGCAAAGAAGATGAATGGCTTCACTTGTCTTTGGGACAAACGAGTAGTCTTGGGAAGAGGCCTCATCCACTTGGATCGTCAAACACCGTCGATGATGAGTATGAACGGCAACGACAATGGCTCTCCTTATCTTCGGGCCCAACAGATGATCATCCAAAACGCAGGCAGATTGATCTCAATGTTCCTTTTGATATTGAGGAGCAACAGCAACCGTTCACTTCAGACGATCCACAATTTCTTATTTATTAGGAGTTTGGGTACGTACATTTCATTTTTAATTGTCATTAAATAATTTTTTTTTTATGGTGATATTTTTTTGGATTAATATCATAAAATGATTTAATTTAAATTTTTGAACAAATAATTAATTTAAATTAAATACATGAAAAAACCACAGCGAGTGGCTTGGTAAGGGCGCGGTGTGCGGCTCCCCAATAAACAAAAAACGTGGGAGGTCCCATGTTCAATGCTTCAAGCTGGTGAGTCTGCTTGACTGTGGCCACAGGTAAGATGAAATTCTCCATAGCCTCTCTAGGCCCAGAAAAGGTGAATAGCTGTGAGTTGCCACAAGTTGTCCCATTTTTAAGAAAAAAAATTAAATACATGAAAAAAGAATAGATGGAATTTTTGATTTGGTGTTGGTTAATAAGATTTAGTAGGATTTTAATATCAAAGGATATATCAATATAGAAAACATGACCGCTTGAATCAACTTGATTGATCTCTACCCTCATAATCTCACAAGTCTATATTCCTATATATTACTTCCAAGCAAATTCTGGGATGGAGTTTGGGTCAAAATTGCAGCCTAATGTGTCTTGATACATCATTGGTTTTGCAAAAATTACGTCTCCTGCCTTTCGACTTTTATGGGTCCTTTATTTGTTCACGACTAAGGTGACGTGGGAAGTGGAAGCACTTAGGGTTTCATTGCCACACAGAGTATAAAGGATTATGCAGCAGCAGAGAAGAACATAGAAGGTTTGTACTTGAATCCCTCGATAGGTTTGAGTCATCGAATTATATATGATTACAATAGCTTGATTTACAAGTATCTTTGCAATAGAAATGTAGAGCAATAGTGTTAGTACTTTGTTTTTACTCGAGCATTCTCGAATGGGGTTTGAGAAAACACATGCGCTTGAAATTTGGCTCTGAGGTATTCAGGATTCAGCCAAGTACTTGTTTTTTTAAGGTTAATTGAATAGAGGGTTACAAAATAACTAATTTTTTTTTTTAAGAGACACACAAACGAGTTACCGCGTAGGAGGTCAAGTTTTTTGGGCTGATATGGGCTGGTCGGGCCTTATTCTCCAGCGTACCCAGCCCAAAGCAATGAAGAAATCAACCGCGTCAACGACTTGTCGTTTCTATTGTTGGCTGATCATGGGGGTTAAAAGAACTTTAGTAGTTGATTAGTTGCTTTTCTCGAAAGTGCTTTTGGTTGTTGCTGCTGCTGCTATTTCCGGTGCAGGGTGTGGGCAAAAGCACTTTAGTAATGAGACTGTTTGAAACCCTAAAAGCATCAAATCCCAGCTTAAAGATTTGGGGCTTCTACACTAGTTATTTTTTCCCTCTCTCATTTTTTTTTTTAATTTTTGAATTTTTCATATAGTTTTACAGATTTTTTGTGAATTTTTTGTTTTGTTTGTATGACTCTAATTTTGTAGGTGAGGTTAGAGAAAGAAGTGAGAGAGTAGGGTTCCAAGTTGTCATATTACAGCCCCACTCTCCTCCATTTCCAGCCTTCCAGGTACCCCTTTTCATCCAGTCTTAAACGTTTGTTCGTTGCTTTATTTTTCATAACTCCATTTTACAACACCATTTTGAAGAAGAAAATCCATAGACCTAACTGTTATTGCACCGGACATTAACAGTTGATTGTCAAGCACTTTTTGTTTTTTCATAGTTTGATTCTTAAAAGTGTTTTTCCACTAATATTAACAATTTTCGTGGGTCTACATAGCATTCAACCCTAAAGCATGTTTTGTATGTCAGTCCATAGTCCTTGAGATGGCCCACTGTAGGGAAGTATAAAGTAGATGTTGAATCGTTTTGAGTCATTGGCACTGCCTGAATTGCGGGTGGGATGATTTTTTTCATCGCTTACTGATCAAGTCTTGCCACCCTCTGCACAATTTAGTTAAATTTTAGGCCTTCACGTTTGCGTAACTTTGTGGAACTTTTTTCTTGTGATGTGTAATCAAGTAAGAGAAGATACTGATCT